ACATATAGTGAAAATCAATGACCCCCGGGGCGGGGCCGATTAAGCTCTAGGCCTTTGGATTCTTTACAAGAAGATTTTTTAAATTCATTCTTATAACTCCTTTTGGTTGCCATGGCAACCAGATTTCTGCATGGAATGGAATTCGTTGAACAACTTTGAAAGCCCGTCAGTCAAGGATTAAGCCTGTCAAGTTTGGTTGAAATTGGACTAGTGGTTGTTCACAAGAAGATTTCTTAAGTTCACTATATAATCTATAGAACACACACACAAACACAGGTGAATCGCTATATAAAAATGTCAATTTCGATAATTTGACATTTAAAGTCAAGGTCATTTATAAGTGAAGGTCAAGGTCTGTCTGGTTATTTTAAAGGACTATCCTTGAAGATTATTATGTTCAAAGTTTCATAAATAACGAAGTTACAGCCAATAATAGCAAGAGCAAGCAAAATTTGGACATTTGACCTTTAAGGTCAAGGTCATTCATGGATGAAGGTCAAAGTTAGTGTGGTCTACTAAACGGTCTTGTCCCAAGGGTTTTGTGGCGAAGTATGAAGACAATACACCAAGAACTAAAAAAAATATGATCCAGGTACAAGTTTGCAGACGGCAACGCCGCCAGGACTATAACAATACCTCTATTTTTTTTTCAAAAAAAAAGTCGATCTAATAAATGATGACTAAATGGTCTCTTAACACATTTTCATTTTTAATCTTAACTTTGACCCCTATGTTTGACCTTAACTACAGGAACCTGAAGTTGGCACAGCAAACTCTGCTTTACAATAATAAATATCTAAGTTAAATTGAAATACCCCAATGCATGTAGAAATTTTGCTCCGGACAAACATTTTGCAATGACCTCTAAGAGTGACCATGATCTTTGATCTACAGACCTGGTTCATGCACGCGACATAGCTTATCATAGATGTGAACATTTTATAAATAAAATCGCTCCATGTGTGTTGGAGATATGCTCTGGACAATCTTGATGTTTCACCACATTCAGAGACCTTGGCCGTGCATATATTGACCTAAATTACAAGTGTCACAGATGCTGTCATGATAATGACCGTTTGTGTTACAATCCCTAAATAAATAATGACTAAATGGTCCCTATACACATTTTCATATTTTTATTTGAACTTTGACCCTGGGTAATATATGTAACCTTGACCTAAGCCGCTGTGACCTGAACTTTGCACGCGACAGTCTACATTCCAATGGTGCGAAATAATATTGAAATCCTTCTATGCATGATAAAAGTTTTTTTTTCCAAGCTTTTTCAAAAGAACCCTTAAAATTTGGTGACCTGAAACCTTTGGATGTAGATACCCTTAATCATGGGCCCGTTACAGGGTTTTTCGTAGTCGTGAACAATTTTCTATGAAGCTTTCCGTCCAAATCCCCAATGCTTTTTATGAGATATGCTCCCAGCCAAAAAAATTTTTTGCTAAACAGGCGGTATAAAAAATTGATTAAGGGTTCCCATGATATACTGTGATAAGAAGGTATCTTTACCCACTTTTCAGGGACTGTCCCATGCCCCTTGACACAATTAAACCAATTCAGTAAGGCACTTTTGTCACTCTTTTTACATTTTCTCTGTTTTTACTATAATACAATTATAACGAAAAAAAAACCATTGACTTCTTCCTGGACCCGGGATCAATATTTCTAATAGGGGCAATAAAACTATGAATCAAATATAGTAAGTTTCATGCCTCAAAAAGATAACTTATACCCCCTAGCTTTTCTCAGACGGAAGAGGGTTTTTAAAGGTTTTTATAAGTAGTTTTTTTATCATCATTGGAAAACCCAAATTGACAACCCCAACCCGAGGTAAGGGACTAATTTTGACCCAAGAGGTATAATTGCAACTTTTTTCATGCTTTCCAGTGTTTTATTGCAATATATCACATGATAATATTCTGATAAACTACTAGTGAAATTTGTTCAATATAATTTTCACTGTAGCCGGGACTTATATTGAATGGGGATGAATAGAATAGAATAATCATAACTAAAAGCAATAGCAGGCAAACATAAATGCTGTCATACGTAAATTTGGCTTCTTTAGAAGAAGCAAGTCGATGTCAGCATACATCAAGTTAAAAATGTAAAAAACAAGATTGCATTTGCTAAAAATGCTATGCCACCGCAGTAATACAACACTAAATAGTAATGTAGGAACAGAATTATTTTGTTTCTATACAAATGAAGATGCCATAAATGCATAGATCACTGACCTAATCTTATCCTTATTCAGATTAAGTGGTGTAAATCTATTGTTATTCAAATAAAAGAGTAGGAATCTATCAATGCAGTAGAGTCTAGTGAATTTGGTGTTGAAGGTTATATTTCACATGGCCAAAATTTCATGACTGTATATAAAAGGACAACACAGTAGGTCACATCATCAAAATCCAGGTCACCTGATATCAAAGTTCAATTTTACAACTAAAACTGTGCACATAGTCAAAATTTCATGGCTGTACATCAAAGGACAAGAAAGTAGGTCACTGTCCCCTTTAACAAGGCAGAATTTTGACCCAAGGGTTTAATTCAAACAATCTTGATACAGGTCCACTTAACAACATTTCATGTCAAATATCTAAACTGCAGCTTTCTCCAATTCAGAAAACATTTGTTTTAGTTTCTGTTTTTGCTATGTGTACATAATGAAAATCAATGCCCCCCAGGCAAGTCAAATTTTGTCACCAGGGGAAAAATTTGAACAACTTCGGTAGAGGACCTATGGGTGCTATTATAAAGCGAACATAAAAGCTATATGCCTTGTACCTATTACTATATGTACATAGTGAAAATCAATGACCCCGGGAGGGGTCAATTTTGACACCAGGGCTATAATTTGAACAATCGTGGTACAGGTTCACTACACAAAGTCTCATGCCAAATATCTAATCTCTAGCTTTTTCATTCAGAGGAGAAGATTTTCTAGTTTTTACTAAATACATATAGAAAACTATTATTTCTGGGGCAGGCAATTATTAACACCAGGGGGTCGGGCAAAATTAAAAAAACTTTGCTAGAGGACCCATAGATGATATTATATACAAACGATCAAAGCTCTAAGCCTTGTACCTTCAGACAAGAAGATTTTTAATTTTTTACTATATGTACATAGTGAATTAAAATAAATGACCCCCGGTGCGGGCCCAATTTTGACCCCAGGGCTACAATTTGAACAAACTTGCTAGAGGTTCAATACACAATGTTTCATGCAAAATATCTAACCCCAAGCCTTTGTCAATTTAGAGATGATTTTTTTTAAAATTTTTACTATATACATATAAGAAAAAACCTATGACCCCTGGGGCGGGGCTAATTTTGACACTAGAGGCAAATTTTGAACAACATTGGTAGAGTACCTACAGATGATATCATATACCAAATATCAAAGCTCTAAGCCTTGTACCTTCAGACAAGAAGATTTTTAAATTTTTTACAATATGTACATAGTGAAAATCGTTGTCCCCCGGGGCCGGGTAAATTTTGACCCAAGGGCTATAATTTGAACAATTTTGCTAGAGGTTTACTACACAATGTTTCATGCAAAATATCTAACCTCTAGCCTTTGTCTATTTCGAGAAGATGATTTTTTTAAAGTTTTAACAATATACATTAAAGGGAAAACTATGACCCCCGGGGCGGGGCCAATTTTGACATTAGAGGCAATATTTCCACAATATTGGTGGAGTAATTATAGATGATATCATATATTAAATATCAAAGCTGTAAGTCTTGTACCTTCAGACAAGAAGGTTTATTAAGTTTTTACTATATGTACATATAGTGAAAATCAATGACCCCTGGGGCGGGGCCAATTGTGACCCCAGGGCTATTATGATCAATCTTGCTAGAGGTTCAATACACAATGTTTCATGCAAAATATCTGACCTCTAGCCTTTGTCAATTTCTAGATGATTTTTTAAGTTTTTACTATATACATTAAAGGAAAACCTATGTCCCCCGGGGCGGGGCTAATTTTGACACTAGAGGCAAAATTTGAACAACTTTGGTAGAGTACCTATAGATGATATCACATACCAAATATTAAAGCTCTAAGCCTTGTACCTTCAGACGAGAAGGTATTTTAAGTTTTTACTATATGTACATATAGTGAAAATCAATGACCCCCGGGGCGGGGCAAATTTTGACCCCAGGCCTATAATTTGAACAATCTTGCTAGAGGTCTACCAGACAATGGCTAATGCAAAATATCTATGCTCTAGGCCTTGTGGGTCTTTACAAGAAGATTTTTTTAACTTCATTCTTATACTTCCTTTTGGTTGCCATGGCAACCAGATTTCTGCATGGAATGAAATTTTTTGAACAACTTTGGAAGCCCTTCACCCAAGGATCAATCCTGCCAAGTTTGGTTGAAATTGGACAAGTGGTTTTTCACAAGAAGATTTTTTAAGTTCACTATATAATCTATAGAACACACAAACATACATACAAACACACACACACAAACAGGTGAATCGCTATATGCCACCGCATCGCAGATGCTGCGGTGGCATAAAAATAGAGAAATTTAACAGAACTTCATTTCAAAATTGATGATGTGACGTCATGATGTGATGACGTCACAAAGGAGAATGAGCGACGTTACGCGGTAAAATCAGTAAAAAAATACTTAAACTCACTTAAAAGAATGAAATAAAAAACATTTATTTGTTTTACATATAAGATTGAAATATATTTCATTCGTGAACACAAGCTTTTCTATTTTCACGAGTGGCGTATAATATTACATCTGGTGTTCACTTAGTGAAATTATATTTCAATCTTACATGCAAAACAAACAAATATCATCTATGTATATCACATACCATGTATCAATTGATAAATAAGCATAGCAGAAAACACTCGTATCAAACAACATTGATTACATTACTTCAAGGCCTACGTTTGTTTTATTTTATAACTTAGGACATAATTCTACAATACAATAATTAGATAAAATACTACACCTTATTCCCATTATGAGTGGAGCTCTAGATGTAATGACTTCTTTGAAGGAGAGAACATCTTGAGTAAAATTATGAGAACCTTCTGTATTTTCTCCTGCCACTAGCAATGCGCCCCATTTATATCCTGAACATATGTGAAATGGTAAAACTGTACTCTTCATATATCAAACATTTTGGAAATACTTATTTTATGACTAAGACTAAAATTGCTGATGACAATGAAATGAAACATGTGCAACTTTCAAGCGGAAGCCAATCTAAACCCTTTCCTTATTTCTAAATGAACAAGCAAATTCGTTGAATTTATATCCCCCGCCGAGTAATGGTTATTACTAACACAACAACTGAAGACATAAGGTCTTATTTATATATTTATCATGGCATAATCAGTAATATTCTTTGTACTTGGTAAATATTCAGGACAATAACAGAGCCATAACTCTGTGTTAAATAGTAATATCTGGACATGCCAATGAGATGTAAATTGCCTTGTTTGCAATAGGTGGCGCTGTGTAGCGCACGAGTTTCTCGGGTGTAATGTACAACGTGTTCATTCAGCGCTAGGACAGCCGACGATAATGACTGAAGAAAAGTCTAACAGTACTTCAGATTTAATCCAACAGCAGTTATAAAGGCACAACGACGATGTTAATTCTTTACGTGAAGAAGTACGGGGCAATAATATTTCTGTAAGACAGGAAGTTAAAAAGTTAAAAGCAGATGTGGACTTTGACTGGAAGAGAAAAAGTATTAATATTCAGCATGAATTTAACCGTGATATACTAGAACATTTAATTAATTGGACTTGGCTCTTAAAAACAAAAAGTACGAGTACTGCAGCGAAATCCTGCAAGAATCAGTAGATTTAGTCTCTCGCAGACAGAAACTCATTCAAGTCGCTGACCAGTCCGAATTCGGTGGGATACTGTTGATTGTTATACATCGAACCCTCTCACCAGTGATTCTGATGATGAAGCAAAGCTCCGAATGCTGAAAATCAAGCAGCTAAACGTCGAAAGTCTAAGTCAGCCAAACGTTCTCCAAACGACACGCAGACAACCATTCTGCTAACGGTTACTGCGCCTTCTCTTCCCCCTACTTTTCACTTCCCAAGCGCAGCAGCATCACCAAGCAGCACCATTTCCGATCTCACAAGCTCGAAACACAGGCTTTATTCGAGGCTCCAGTCCATATGGACAACGATCAACCGCCTACGGTTCCTGTTTCATATGTGGATCTTTTGACCACTTCCGGCGCTCATAGACAGTTCAGCAACCATCTTCAAGCGAGTCAAGAATTAACATTTCGGATACAGTTGATCTAGAAGATGAGTATTTATGTAATGACTCAAGAAATTTTAATGACAGAAAAAATCAAGTTTTTTTAACACATGAAAATTTTGAATACGAGTCTGGTCAGAAAAGAAATAATTGTTAGGGGTAGATTAAGACAAAATTTAAATTTTTTTGGAAATCGATTACAACAAATATTTTTTATTGATACGATTTTGCAGAGTTATAAAATTCTTTTTTTTCTATAAACCCGAATCATGCCATTTGCCTGCTTTAGAAAACAAAGCTTTTGATATTCAAGCTATTCAAGAATTGTTAGACAGGGGCTTGATATAAATTTGCTAAGAAATACCATTTATTGTAAATCCTTCGACTGTTTCTGTCGAACGACAAACGTAGGCTTATTCTAGATTTACGTGCAGTTAACAAGCATTTATGGAAACAGTATTTTAAATTATGACGATATCAAAATTGCTCTTGAATTTCTCAAAAAAGGTTCATGGATGATAAAATTTTGATATTCATTCCGCTATCATTTTATTGAGATTTTCCCGCCACATACTACATTTTTGGGGTTTTCCTGGACAAATTTACAAGGCGTTTCAACTTTTTATAAGTTTTTAGTTCTCCCTTTTGGTTTTATCTACGAGCGCATATGTTTTCAGTAAGGTGTTTCGCCCTGTAATTGTAAAATGGAGGGGCGAGGGCAAAAGGACGTTATGTTTTCTTGATGATGGTTTTGCTACAGACGAAACCCATGATAAAATAAGCACAGTAGCTGCAGAGATAAAGCAAAATCTGATTTCTCCAGGGTTTGTTCCCAAATTAGAGAAATGTATCTGGGAACCTACGCGTATCATGGATTTTTTAGGTTTAAACTTAAATTTTGAATCTGGTATAATTTCCGTACCGGAAGCGAGAATTTGTGTTTTTACACTCTTGAAATGATCGAAAGTGCTATAAAGAAACCCAGTCGTGTTTGTGTACGTTTATTAGCTAGTTTCGTAGGCAAAATCATATCAATGTTAATCGTATTCGGAAACAATTCGCTTATCATGACTAAATATATCAGTATGGATATATTAGATGCTCCTCACTGGAATTATTATGTCCGCGTTTCTCATGAAAGTAGGAAATAATTAGAGTTTTGGCGAAACGAAATACTTAATTTAAGCGCTAGGGACATGTTTATTAACCCCTCATACTCTAAAGTAGTATATTCGGACTCAAGTAGTTACGCTTACGTTGGTTACGAAGTAACAACCATTCAAAGCGTTACTTACGGTATTTGGTCTCCTGAGGAAATGCTACTTTCCTCTACTTGGAGAGAATTAACCGCAGTTTTCGGGGTTTTAAAATCTATAGCTTAGAGACAACCGTATAAAATGGTTTATTGACAATCAAGCAGTCAGTAAAATAATACGAAATGGGTCGATGGTACGTAATTTACAGCAAGTTGATGTTAGTATATACAGATTTTGTTTACAACATTCGATTTCTATATATGTAGAATGGATTCCGAGGTCTCAGAATCAGAAAAGCGATTACATATCAAAAACTATCGATTATGATGATTGGGGAATCAATTTTTGGCCTATTTCATGTCCTAATGGTAGATTTTGTAAAGAAGTAGTAGACCTTATTATCTTACCTCGTGAAAGACAATTTTACACAAAATGTTCGAACGGAAGGGGTATTTTTCGCAATCAAGATTTTATTTTTCGATATGCTTGCTTTAAAAATTGTTTTCTAACAAAAAAAAGTGTTTTTTTAGAGTTAAAAAGCGTCTAACGTTAAACAGTTACTTAATATTACACTAAATATAGACCTATGTGAGCGTAAATGAGATTTTGAAATCATTAGATTTTTCACAGGCTTAGCAGCCATGAGAATAGTTTTTAGACTTAGCAGCAAGGCATAAGAATATTTTGAAGAGGCATAGCAGCCATGAGAATTGCTAACGGTAATACTTTAATGAGGCTCAGCACTGCCACTCAGCAGCCATGAGAATATCTTATAATGAGGCTTAGCAGCCATAAGAATAGTTTAATGAGGCTAAACAGCCATGAGAATAGCTTAATGAAGCTAAGCTGCCATGAGAATAGCTTAATGAGGCTAAGCAGCCATGAAAATAGCTTAATAAGGCTTATAGCAACTAGAACTATCACTAAATGTGATTAAAAGCCCCGCAAGACTACTTCGGAAATGAAGATGTTACTAGTAACAGAATACCTTGTAAAAGAATTAAAACAGAGTTATGGTTGTGGGCATTTATAGACAGTTGTGGTTCTTGTATGTTGCATTTTTTTTCAATGTGGTAGGCCATTAATGAGGTTTTACTGAATTACTCTGTAATAAGTTTAGAAAGACAAGGAAAAGGAAGACAGGGCAATAACTCAATAAATACTGAAGATAATGTTATGGTTATTGTACACTGCACTTCCTCTCATTGCGCTTGACCATTGTATGAAGTTGTATTGAATTCCAACTACTGGTTTTCAAGTTACGCACTGGACAAAAAAGTAACAAAGGGCAATAACTGTAATTTGTCCAAATAGGGTTATGTCTTGTGCACTGCACTTCATCTTACTGCCTTTGACCAGTGTATAAAGTTTCATTGAATTCCAACCATTAATTTTCAAGTTATGCACTGGACAATAAAAAGTAACAAAGGACAAAAACTTTTAAATGAGTCAATAAAGAGTAATGGTTTCTGTGCACTGCGCTTCCTCTCAATATACTTGACCCTTGTATGAATAGTAATGAATTCAAACTACTAGTTTTCAAGTTATGCACTGGACAAAAAAGTAACAAAGGACAATAACTGAAATTTGTCCAAATAGAGTTATGTTTTGTGCACTGCACTTCATCTTACTGCCTTTGACCATTGTTTAAAGTTTCATTGAATTCCAGCCATACATTTTCAAGTTATGCACTGGACAATAAAAAGTTACAAAGGGCAAACAACTTTAATGAGTCAAGAAAGAGTTATGGTTTCTGTGCACTGCGTTTCCTCTCAATATACTTGACCCTTGTATCAAATAGTATTGAATTCCAACGAGTAGTTTTCAAGTTATGCTCTGGACAAGAAAAAAGCAATGGAAAAGTAACAAAGGCAATCACTCTATAATTACTCTGGAAAGAGTTATAGTTCTTGTGCACTGCACTTCCTCTTATTGTGCTTGACCATTGTATGAAGTTGTATTGAATTCCAACCAGTACGTTTGAAGTTATGCTCCGGACAAGGAAAAGTATCAAAGGGCAATAACTCTGTAATTTGTCAAAATGTAGTTATGCTTCTTGTGCACTGCACTTCCTCTTAATGTGCTTGACAACTGTATAAAGTTGTATTGAATTCCAAACAGTAGTTTTCAAGTTATGCCCCGGACAAGGAAAAGTAACAAAGGGCAGTAACTCTGTAATAAGTCAAGATGGAGTTATGGTTCTTGTGCACTGCACCTCAACTCAATGTACTTAATCATTTTATGAAGTAATATTGAATTTCAACCATTAGTTTTCAAGTTATGCTCTGGACAAAAAAGCAAGGGAAAAATAACAAATGGCAATAACTCTGTAATCAGTGAAGATGTAGTTATAGTTCTTGTGCACTGCACTTCCTCTTATTGTGCTTGACCATTGCATGAAGTTGTTTTGAACTCCAACCTGTAGTTTTTAAGTTATGCTCCGGACAAGGAAAAGTAACAAAGGGCAGTAACTCTGTAATAAGTCAAGATGGAGTTATGGTTCTTAAGCATTGCACTTCCTCGCAATGTGATTGACCATTTTGTTTGAAAATATATTGAATTCCAACTATTAGTCTTCAAGTTATGGT